GTCTGCATTGGTCCCTGCCAGGAGTCCAACAGATTCTTAAAGCCACTTAGAGAGGTCAAGGTTGAGGTTAAAGGTTGATTAGGATCGTTATAGTCTGATTTATTTGGTGGGGGGGGGGAGTGGTGGTGCAGAGGTCAAAGAAGGCGAGCTTGTGATGGGCAGGTCGCCGGTTCAATCCCCCAGACTGACCCACATCTGCGTCCACCCTCATTTGCACCACTCTGGGCCCTTGAGCAAGGCTTATCCTCCACCATCGGCTCCCCCGGTCGCCCTACATGGCAGCCCTCTGCTCCACACTGAGGGCTGTGGTAGCTCGGTGGTCTGTGGTTGTGTCAGGAAGGACATCTGGTGTAAAAACTATTGTCAAGTCTTCTTCCCTGAAGAAGGGAGCAGCCGAAAGAAAATTAAAAATAAATAATATTTAGGCCTGTCACAATAACAAATTTTGCTGGGCGATTGTCAGAAATTATTGCGATAAACGATAATATTGTTTGAAACTTGACAATAATTAGTAATTATTGTCAAATTTAAGAAGAAATATTTACTTGTTTTGCGTGTAGTACCTTTTTTTGACCACCGGATGGCAGTATAAGACTGAACCAAGAAAGATGGATAGTGAGAGAGCGTCTCTAAGAAAAATGGGAGGGAGGCCCCTTGACGTGACATGGGTTGTCTATTCGGTTCTCAAAATGGCGGACGCTCTGTGTTGTTTGAGCTCTTTAGCATAGCATTTGTCACACAAAGCTTAATGAAAAATCAGTAAACAAGTTCTCAGCTTCTTTTTTCAGAGAAAAACAACTTTTTACACGAAAGCACGGGTTTCAACCGTGAATTTTGGAGTTTCGACAAGATGGGAGGTTTTCCCCGAGGTCGGCCTGTTAGCTTAGCTTGTAGCTTAGCTTCTCAGTTTAGCTGCTTTTAACGATCCAAAAACAGGATTTTGGATTGTTAAAACTGATTTTAAATAGAAAAGAGAAAGGGAGGGGTCAGTGAAGAACCGGAGTTGAACCTTTTTTCATCCAGTGTCTTCAGTAGAAAGAGAGACAAAGAAACCATAAAACTGATAAATGAAAATGAGGTCGATAATTTTAATTTATCATGCTATTAATTGATTTATTGTTTATCGCGACAGCCTAATCAGATTTACATTCTAGGATCATTGGACGGAGTCTTTCTGGACTAATTTTAATTCAAATCTCAGTTGAGACAAACGTGAATATTTTTATTTTTATTTTTAATGTTTTTTCCCTGTGATCATTTTGACTCATGTTACCAGCACAGGCCGCATTTATCTGATGTAAATCTTTTTCCATCGATGCACCTCCATGTTCATAATCAATATTACAA